TCTCCTAATTAAGTTTGTAATTGAGTACATATTAATTTTTTAATTGAAGCACATATTTAGACTATTTCGGTTGCTTAGTTTTGTCGCGGTCTTTTTTTCATCTTGCGTTAGTCTTCTCGATACTTCCACAAGATAGCATATTACTTTATTGCCCTCGCATTCCTAATTACATCCTTGTCCGAAGACGATTTGATGCACGCGAAGCCGATTCCAGCTGGTTCCGAACCCCCGCAAAAACAAGTAGATACGAAAGAAATACCTCTTTACTTAACGACGGATTACGGGGGAGAGCGACGAATCGCTAGGGTAAATTTGCCAACTACCCGAGTAATTAAGGGCATCCCAATTGGGGGTTTTGGGTCACTCTCCCGCCCTAGAGAGAGAGAGACAGAAAGAGGGAGAGAAAAAAAGAAACGGAAGACGCACGAACTCGCTTACCGAAGCCGTCCTGAACAAACTTTTCGTCGTCTTCCACGCCATTATATCGCGATGAGATCAAGCCAAGTCGACGATGTGATTTCGTACGGCGCGATACTATCGAACAGCTTCGTCACGTAAAAGCGCGCATTGACGACCCTGATTGTCCCGATCCGATTGTCCTGATTGCCGGCATGATGGACGACGAAGGTAAATCCGAGGCGAGATTGCGAATCGAAATTTCCCGGTATTTATGCGGGTTAAACGCGATCTGTCCATTGATATTGCCGAGTTTGGACATTTGTCGAGCGCAGTTTCGAAGAGTTAGAAAGCATATCTATTAAATATACATTATCTTCCTCAATTTCTCGAAGCGACCATTAAGTTGTTGAAATTCGCGTCTTGAAAATCGTCAGGAAATATAGCACAAATATAATTGAATATCTATCGAAGATGTGACGTTTCAAATAAAAATGTGATTACGTGCAGCATAGACACAAATTTGGCAAAGTCGGACCCCTGTGAAGTTAAACCCCCATTATTTAAAAATTTAACTTTTACGAGTTCCCTATAGATTTATAAAGTCTGTTATAAATCTTTAATTATAGATCAACAATTTTTTACCTGCACGCGATTAATTTTCATAGATTTAGCCTGGCATTAGAATTTGACGAGAAGATAGCTGCTCGTCTGAAATGTTCCGTATGTTTCTGTAGCGTCAACCGGGTATCAGACTGTCGGTTCTGAGATGATAAAATCAGAAATGTCAGATGGTGTGGAAAACTCCTCATTACAGACTGCGACCGTCGAAGGAACGCGCGAGGATAGTTCGGCGGAGGTAGCTATCGGCGGAGGATCTGAGCTTGACGAGGAGAAAAACGAAAGTGAGATTATCTGCGTCAATTTGGAAACGTTTTGTCGCCAACAGATAGCTCACGATCGAAAACGAAATTATTCCCACGTCAGAGAAACATTCGCGAAAAGGCAGTTTTTTTAAATATCGAATACGCTTTCCATCTTGCGAATTACT